ATTAGTCTTAATTCTGGCAGTTAATGGGCAACATATGTACTGGTGCAGCATTCAGCCTCACGGAGGTGGAGATCAATCATTATTAGCGTTTTGTGTGCCACTGCATTAAAATGGGATGAATAAAATTAATTACCCCTGAAACGCGACCTTCCACACAGAAGGCTGGAACTTCACAACCTGTAAGTGAGACTGTATTCAGAGAGATTGTACTCAAGCATCAAACACACACGTGCACACACAGACAACCTTCAAAACAGTAAGAACAAAAAAATGAGAGCCACAGCATACTGTTATTCTCTACTTTCATAGATGGGTAAAACTGCAAGAGGAGGAACCAAAACCTTGTTCTCAGTCATTCCCCTTACTTTCCCTTACAGAAGAAGTCTATTTGAATACCCAAACCTCATCTTATCACAATAAGAGCAAACCCTCATATGATTTTAGTGCAAAATTGAACATAACCCTTAATCTTCAAACAATAAAAGCAGGCAGCAGCCTTTGGTTTAGGGAAGCAATTAAGCCAAGCGAATAGAGAGCTGGCCTGTGACTCCGGTGACTGGGAGGTCACTTCGCTGCCCTCCCACAGGCTCTGGCGCTGCTTTAAATCCTTTCACTCCTCTCTGCTTCAGTCCTGCCATTTACCAGGCAGGAGCAGAGCCAACTTAGAGCCTAGGCTGCTGATGCCCATTTGTAAAGGCCTCTTGCTTGAACAACCACTTAGTAGGGGAGAGGATGCATTTCTTTTTTGAGATTTTAAAATGGTACTAAAAAGAACAGTTTAAGTGCCTGCACATAAGTAGTGTTTAAAATGAGGTAAATAAATGGATAATTTTAAGCAACAGAAAATTTTGCCTTAGTTTTCACAACTTCATACAAGTGCTTTTTTTTCTCTCATGCATGCTCTGCATTGATTTTGCGGAGCACGTGTAATTTCAAGACTTGATCCTGAAGGAGGCAAATGAAACTTTTTATAGCATTTTCAGGCTACTCATAAAAGTGCTGTATTTAAGCTAGGCATAATTTATTGTTTTTATTGCTGCTATTATTATTAGCTTCTAAAACTAAAGATAGCCCACCTCAGCCCGTAAAAAAATTAAGCTCCTCAGAAATAACAGTGACTATCTATCTATCTTCTTCATTTTCTTTGGCTACAAAAGCCAGAATTTCTCTCCTCAGTCATCCAAGACATGTGGTAGGAGTATCTCTTGCCATACAAAGTAGTAGAAAAAGAGAATAAGGAAAAAAATATTTTGGTCCCCATTTTCTCCAATACCTTTCTCCTATTCCGCTATGATTTTCCTTTGCTCATTCAGAACCTCTTTTACTTTAAAAAAAGCCATCCTGCTATGTACTCCTCCTTCTTAGCTCATGGTTGTACAGCCTGACTGTAGGGCACGACCAGTGAATCATAATAGCAAATGTCAACAGGAAAAGATCTCCAGTAGCCCATTAGCTGTTTGAGTTCATATTTATTATTTACTGAATGACTGTGAATAATGAACAAATTGCTCTAAATCATTACAGATTTGTGGCTAAATGTCTAGTAAAAAGGGAAAATCAGTTAAAGCAATTGCAGAATTTATTTGCAAGAAAAAATTTGCCTTCTTCTAATTCATATTATATAGGGAAGAGAGAGCACCAGCAAGAGAAATAGAGGTAATTGGTGCAAATCAGCTAGGGATACAAAAAATGGAAACTTTGAAATGACAGAATAGTGAAAGAAATTCTCACAAAATGCTTCCATGGAGCTATGTGCCCTAATCTCTGTGGGTTAGACTTATACAAGCATCAGCGAGTTAGTTAGACAAAGTTGGAGATTGTCACCCCAACTTGTGCTTGTAGTCAGTATTTAGAGGAGTAAATTAGGTTAGGTAAATCCCATTCTAGCTAAATAAGGCTAATCTTTGGACTGTCATGCCTAATTTGAGCACGAGTTTGGGCTTAATCTTTTTCTCAGAGGGTACTGGATGAAGTCAGCAGTGCCACTGATGCAAAAAGTGTGCAAGTTTGTCATTTAGGCTTGTCTTCCTAAAGGTAAATGAGAATTTTGTAGCTATTATACCAACGGACAGAGGAATCACAAATTGTACAATTGAAGGAAGATACCAATTCCTAGCACGCAGATTGTGTGGCAAAAAACAAAAGGAACCTATCCTAAAATAGAAGGGTATCTAAATGTTTTTCTCTTGGCTCTGTGGAGCACATTCGGTGACGCCTCTTCGTGCATTTACTTGAACAGTTCTCTAAATCAGATTCCATTTCAGGGTAGTCTCGAAGATTATGTAAGAGCAAATTGTGGCTTTATGTTTCCTACTTCAAGAAAATGTGTGGTATCAGGAGTCATGTTATCAGACATTATCCAAAATCTTATACCTGTTAAAAAGTCATGCTCAGCATCATATTCAATTAGCTCTAAATTCTGTTATTCATTGCAAAGTCAAAGGCTTTCCAAATTAATGCAGCTATTTGAGTATTTTTAGGCAAGAGCCTATTAACACTGAAATGTTTTTTTACAAAAACATGCTATAGCTAAAGCTCATGATGGAAGTAATTTGTAATATTCAATGACCTCATTTTATACTGTTTTGCTCACTCAAAGTTAATGCATATGATGCCATGTGAAATTCTCAGACGAGCCTGTCTGCAGGACTTATGGGAGCCATAAATGGATTAAACCTCTCACTCCCTGCTTTGGCAAGTGATCAGTTACATTTAAATAAAGGTCAGTCTGTCTTTACAAAGAACACACTGAAAGCAAGCTTAATAGTCTACTGAGCCTAGAACGTAACTATTTGAAGCATAATTAGCAACGGGGTGCCAGTCACTGATTGTGCTTTTTGCTTGATTTTACGTCTGGGGAGTTCCAGTATTCCCCATTAGCTTTAAGAGGGGGCACGGTGCTAGTTATCAAATTGACAGTCTTGACCTGGCTTCTGAAAGCAGCTGTAAAACATTGTTTGGGAAAATTAAGATGAATGCCAAATGCCATACCAAAACCAGGAGCATAATATTGCTACAAATTGGACAGTCATGGTCCATGTCGGGACTCCAAATAACAACATAGGTAAGATGTCTGATATACATGAGAACATGGACTTTGTTACTCTAAATACCAGGTGACCATGCTAAGGAGATAAACCAGCTGTCCTATTATCTCATCTTATGAGCTCTGTATTTTGAATTCTTTATAAAATACCTCATACCTATTCTTTTCGGCATTAACAGAGCGATCAGCTCTGCCATCTGTTAAAATGTAGACAGGATATTCCTTGCAGGAAGGGTGGAGGGAATCAAATACAGCTGCCCCTACAGTAAAAGGGACTGACCACAAAAGGGTTATTTTGTCAAGTTAATTAAATATTTAGCCTGCATCAGGCATTTAAGAATAAACATGATCATAGAATCATAGACTGGTTTGGGTTGGTAGGGACCTTAAAGATCATGTAGTTCCACCCTCCCTAATGTATTTTCTGGTTTTCTGGTTCTTCAGAATACCTCATTTGTTTGGGGGTTTCTTAACTGATATTCATAGCCCTTGTGGCAAACATGATAATCATCTACAGGTGGAGAGAACAGAGCCGACGCAGCAATTTTGGTACTCTGCAGCCAGCCTGAAATTCTAACAAAGATCTCTGAATTACCTTGACCTGCCTGAGTGGAGCATCAGCTTCAAAAATCCAGTGATTGCACTTCAGTGTCATCAGCAACTAATTCAGCACTGATCATTTTAGCTAATGTTATCAGGGAATGGGTAAGAGCAAAACACTGTGGGCTGGCTTTTGGGCATTTCTAGACATAATGCAAGAGCAGACCAGAGAGGTAGACAGGGGACAGCAAAACCAGCAAAAGAATAAGGAGGAGGAGTAAGAAAAAGGCAGCAAAGAGGGTGGGATTAGATGGAAAGGATCTATTAAGTAAAGATGAAAATGATATGAATTATTATGAGAAAATATTAAAGTCTTAGATTTTAGGTGTGATACAAAGACTATATTTTTACATTCATCTCTGTGTAAAACACCAACCTACTTTTATCTCAGCCACTCTCATGTGATAGCTGGTTGATGGCTGCGTTCCCAGCTCAGGTCCACTATGAGAGAGCAGAGGTCTGTGTCGTCCAAATGCGCCTTGGTTATCAGTCACAAAAAAGAAACCATAAGAAGATGACCAACCAGGGATTAAGATAAAACCATGCACTTTTCCCGATTTACCTGCACTTGGGGGTTAAACACAGGATTTTAGGTCTGCAGGTCTTTATCTCCTTTCATGAATGCTATATCCACTTTAAGAGTTAATTAAATACATTACAAAATGTAGGAACTGCCAAGAAAAATAGAGCTGTATTTGGTTTTACAAGCCCTTAGATATATTAAAGTAAGAAGACCAATGCCTTAAGCAGTTCCATATCAGTTCTACCATTCTGCATCTCTAAAATTTATTTGTGCTTTTTTTGTTTCTTCTATTTCTAGGATTTCTTTTTCCTGGTGGAAAATTTGTATAGGAAGTGGAGAAATCAGTGACTGATTTACTTGACAATGTTCAGCTTATATGAAGGTTTCATTTTTTTACAGATGTCCTACAAAGCAGCCAACCAATGCTCTGCTTCCAGCACAGGCACTTCAAGGTCGTATTTCTTTGTTTTCACCACAGGTCAAATCCCATCACCAGGAAAAACTAATTTCAAAGCGTCTTCCATCACAGGCACTCCGAAATAATGAAACGAAACAGCCAACCAGAAAAAAATCCTTTTTCTTTAACCCATCAACCCTGCACCAGTGATGCAGAACTCTCCTCAAACTCTGGCAGTAAGGTTTGCTAGTCAGGTAGCGAATGTGCTCCTGTGGCTTAGACCACCATAATAATGTCTCTCTTCTGCAGGACGTTTACTTCAAGCATTGATAATGGCAAGCTGTGTCTTCTTTGAGTCTTTTAACATGTCCACATTACATTTTTCCGCATGTTGATTCAAGTACTTTAAACACTCGCTTTGTTCTCTATTGTAGGTCATGGGTTATATGGGACTTTTGAAATGTTGTCCTCCTGGAGAAAAACTAGAGAAGACCAACACGTTAAAGAGAGGACTGCAGCCGTATTTGCAGACTCCATGCTCTCGTTTTCTCTCACCACTGCCATGTACCTGGTCACTTTTGGAATAGGTGCCAGTCCCTTCACTAACATTGAAGCAGCCAGGATTTTCTGCTGCAATTCCTGTATTGCAATTTTCTTCAACTACCTCTATGTACTCTCCTTTTATGGTTCCAGCCTGGTGTTTACTGGCTACATAGAAAACAACTACCAGCATAGTATCTTCTGCAGAAAGGTACCAAAGCCAGAGGTATTGCAAGAGAAGCCTGCATGGTATAGGTTTCTTCTGACAGCCAAATTCAGCGAGGACACAGCGGATTCAGAGGAAACGAACACTTACGAGAGTCATCTTTTGGTGTGGTTCCTTAAACGCTATTATTGTGACTGGATAACAAACACCTACGTCAAGCCTTTTGTAGTTCTCTTTTACCTTGTTTATATTTCCTTTGCCTTAATGGGCTACCTGCAGGTCAGTGAAGGGTCAGACCTGAGCAACATCGTAGCGACCGCGACACGGACCATTGAGTATACAACTGCCCAGCAAAAGTATTTCAGTAACTACAGCCCAGTGATTGGGTTCTACATCTACGAGTCGATCGAGTACTGGAACACCAGTGTCCAGGAGGACGTGCTGGAGTATACCAAGGGCTTTGTGAGGATATCTTGGTTTGAAAGCTACTTAAATTACCTTAGGAAACTCAACATATCTACCGGATTGCCCAAGAAAAACTTCACTGATATGTTGAGGAACTCCTTCCTGAAGGCCCCTCAGTTTGCCCATTTTTCAGAGGATATCATCTTTTCCAAGAAATACAACAATGAAGTTGATGTCGTGGCCTCCAGGATGTTCTTGGTGGCCAAGACAATGGAAACCAAGAGGGAAGAACTTTATGACCTCCTGGAGACCCTGAGGAAGCTCTCTCTCACCTCCAAGGTGAAATTCATTGTTTTCAATCCATCGTTTGTGTACATGGATCGTTATGCCTCTTCAGTGGGAGCCCCCTTACAAAACTCCTGCATTAGTGCTTTATTTCTGCTCTTCTTCTCTGCATTCCTGGTGGCAGACTCTCTGATAAATGTCTGGCTCACTCTAACTGTTGCCTCGGTTGAGTTTGGAGTTATAGGTTTTATGACCTTGTGGAAAGTGGAACTAGATTGTATTTCTGTGTTGTGCTTAATTTACGGAATTAATTATACAATTGACAACTGTGCTCCACTGTTATCAACCTTTGTCCTGGGCAAAGAGTTCACAAGAACTAAATGGGTGAAAAATGCCCTGGAAGTGCATGGGGTAGCTATTTTGCAGAGCTACCTCTGCTATATTGTTGGTCTGATTCCTCTTGCAGCTGTGCCTTCAAATCTGACCCGTACACTGTTCAGGTGCTTGTTTTTAATAGCATTAGTCACCTTCTTTCACTGCTTTGCCATTTTACCTGTGATACTGACTTTCCTGCCACCGTCCAAGAAGAAGAGGAAAGAGAAGAAGAATCCTGAAAACCGTGAGGAAATAGAGTGTGTTGAAATGGTGGATATGGATAGCACCCGAGTGGTTGACCAAATTACAACAGTCTAACTTGTTTGTTTGTTGCTTTTTTACACTAGGTCTTACTGAAGAAAAAAAAGAAACCAGTACTGACTAAATATCTGGGGAGAGGAAGGGGTTTGGAGGTTTTCCCTCCCCCCTCTAATCTAAATCCAGGAATATTCAAAATGATGGGAGAAATTAAAAATAAATTTCATAAAAAAGAGCTGGGGGATTGTACCTTGCTCAGCTCCTGTAACAGAGAGAATTTGCACACACATGCAAAGAGGGGTTGAATTTTAGACGCATGAAGTAAGATCTAATGAGAGAAGTTGGGTTCCTAAGCAGCTGTCTGCATCGCCAGTACTGCAGATCCTGCAATTATTGTGGCTAAACCCAATCAGACTGAAAGGTCAACTGTCAAGGCTGAAGTAGCACTAAATGTTCGCTGGATGTAAAGGCTTTACAAACTTTCTGCACAGCAATAACTCAAGTCAGTGAGTCAGCTCTTATAGGTCTTAGCCATCACATTTAATTTTTCTTTTCTCCCTTAATCTAAACATTTATGCAAGACTGTATAACAGATAGCAAACTGTACTGGGAAAGAAGGCAGTACACAGCAACCAAACACTTTCCAAACCCTTTTATGTTATGAATCACTTTTTTTTTTTTTTCTAAAAATATCATTTTAAAATGTAAATCATCCCTTGTAACATTTTTAATCATGGTTTTATAGCTGTTTCTTTTTCTTATAAAAACAAAAAAGAACAAAAAAAAAAGAACAAAAAAATCCCAGTGACTCTGTCACTCTAGAAAATACGTAATTCTGTTTTATACATCTCGCTACTAGTTAAACACGTAATCTGCTTTACCAACTGTAATTTTGTTAGCACTCTACTAACACATGCAAGTGGATCTAGCAGCAGACAGAAGATGGTGTACTGAATATTTCAGCACCAAAATCCATGACACAAACCTCAAATACTAAAATGTCATCAAGAAAGTGAATGTTAGGGCTCTTTTAATGAGAGCCTATTTCAGGCCATTCACTGGTAATGCACACTAAGAGGATTAGTGGGTAGTTTTACGTAATGTATAACTTAATCCCTCAATCTTCCGAGAGTACCTGTAAAGCAATAGGCCTTGCAGCTATGGGCTCTTCCAAGAGGCAGTAGACCGTGAGAGCTGTATGGAACAAACCGAAGGTTGGGACTGCGGTTTAGGAGCGGCAAGTTTAACAACGTCCCCAAAGAGCCCATATCTAAGGGGTCTATTGAAAATATCACATCTGAGGGAAGAAAAAAAAAACCTTAAAAAGATTACGTTACTGAGTCTTTTTGGAGCTGTGAGTTCTAAATCAATAATTCTGTCAGCATCTGTGATGTGGAGTAATACAGATAAAGCAGCATCTCTTTCCTCCTCCACCCCTCCACCCTTAAGAGCGACAGGCTCATTACTGTAAGGTTTTATCATGCGGTTGAGCCCCAGTGGGGATACGTAAGCCAGTTCTGTAGGTTTTGCTGAGAGTATTCCGGCTATACATTGCCTTTGAAAACCCAGTTGCAGGAAGCTGGCTGGTGTGTCAGGTGATCTCATGAATATATGGACTGTTGCTTTCTGGTGCAAGGTGAATGTATTGCAACCGGACTCCTTTTTACAGCTTGTCCGGAAAGTAAGAGTACTTGAAAAGCTGCCGGCAGTTGGCACAGCGTTTGCCTCAATCACAGTATCTGGAGGGCGAAGGGATATTGCGGGAGCCATGGGGCTGGGACCACGGGGAGCGCTGTGCCTCGGGGGGCTGCCTGTGTTACCCACACGGTGATTAGCACATCTGTGGTCACGCACCCAGGGTATGCTTCATTGCATGAAACTTCTCTTTAGCATCCAATCCCAGTGACCCCCCAAATGCCCTGTGCAAAACCTGCACCTCATGAATATTAATTTTCAAGCAGAGATACTTCTGAAGCTTTCTCCCTAGCAGAAAATAAGATAACCAGGTATTTTGCCCTGAAGCAAAATGTTACATACTGACTAGCAAAACAAGTTGGCAGCGCAGCAGGCAACGTTTACTTTCCCCTGGATAAGTCCCCTCTCTGACCAGAAGGAAAGGAAGCTGTGTCCAGGAATGCACAGGCTCTTTGCTTGGACAAGCAACATTTGCTGCAGTAGCAGCTGGGAAGCTGTAACAACAACTTCAGCCTTGGCAGAAATCAGGCGGACACCTTGAAGACAGCCAAATGAATGTGAGGGTAGGGGAAAGATCTGTTTCCCCTGTTTTCTTTAGACTCAGGCTTGGGGCTATGTTTTCCAGCCAAAAATCATTCCTCAAATATAATTCACCGTAGATTTTCTGTGATGGTCGTTATGTCATTTAAATAACAGTCACCCTATCTCCTGGCTGTTCAACAGGCAGCTGCAGTGGCTTTTAAACTTCTGAGGGCATTAGCAAATTATTTGAGAGTTACAGAGGATTGCAAACCACTTTGGCAGCAGCAATCTACTGGCTTGTGGGACACCTGGAAATGCGAGATGTGTGAAAGAGGTTGCTTGTATACTGCAGAGAGGAATACGTGGCAAACACTGATTTTACACCTCTGCTATCCCTGATGCTATCACTTGCAAACACTTGACGCAAAGATGGCTACCATAAACCTCTTCATATCTAATTGAAATGCATAGATAGGAGCGTCTTTAAAGAGATGTCCAAAGACAAGCTTGTAGTTTCACAGATCTCTCATTAAATCTCAGCATGTGAGCCCTTCAGAGATCTTCAAGGAAGGTGATAAAACCAGTGATAAAATTAATCCTCTATCTCCAAACCTGTCAGAAAAAGAATGTGGAGGCACTCCTATGGCAAAGTGCCGCAGGATGTGCTTGGGTGTCCACAGAAGACAGAGTGAGAAGTCATGCAGCCCACCCCCTTGCCCCAAGGCAGAGCCAATGACATTTATATCGTTTCTGAAGGATGTTTGTCCAGCCCATTCTTAAAAATTTTTTTAAGGGCAGATTCCTCCCCTAGCAGTTCCCCCCAGTGCCGTGTTACCCCACCAGTAACTAGTAACTCCTGCTGACCAGCTGGGACTGGGAGGGGGAAGAGGTGCCGTGCCCCTCTCCGCACAGGGAAGGACAGGCCAGGCAGGTGACAGTCTCTGAAGCATCCCCAAAGCAGAGGAAACCCAAAACAGAGCCAAAAACAACTTACATTTTTCACCGTGTTTCACCTCAAGCTGCCACTCCGCTCCCCACTTCCAGGCTTGGCGAGGTAAAGCCATGAAAATGTCCAAGGCATCCTCAGCCCAGGTCCGTGAGATTTCTGCCTGAATCCTGATGTGTCTGAGAGAGGCACCAAATACTCCTTCTCTACAGGTAGCTTGAATACCTCAACGTGAACCAGAAACGGCATGTTCTCAAGGTTTCAGACTATGCTAACCCACTTTGGCCTTCCTCCTCTTTGACTCTTTCGTCTGGAGCAATTATCTTCACCAAAGTCAATTGGTCCTCACTGCGCCGATTGATTAATAGGTGCGGATGCTGTGCCCTGTTCTCAGTCCAAAGCACTCCCAGTGGCTAACTGTGCATAAAATTTTACCCTTACTGGTGAACCTCCATTTTGGAAGACTACCTAGGCTTAAGCAGTTTTTTGTCATACTCTTAAGTGGCTTTTTAGCCCAGGTATCACTGTGGTTTTGTTTGCAATATAGATGACCCAATTTTTGTATAAATTCAGCGAGTAAAACAGAGTATTATACACTGTCAGGCACTGACTGAAATCTAACAGCAAAAATTTTAATGAAGGCTAACAAGACTATATAGGACTGTGGCTCACTGAGCACATATATCTTCTACAAACATTAAAATTTCCATACAGTAAGGTATGGTGTACAGTATATTTTTACTATGGGGTAAGCACGGGGAAAAAGAATGAACCTAAGTGCATATGACCATCACGATCAGTCCAGTTTTCTTGTAACGTAATTCCTAATGTTGTCTTAGCACAAGTTCATTTTCAAGTTACAAGTACTCTAATTGGAGGAAAAATGAAGAGAGAAAAGTTGGTATAGCTGGAATAACTACTTTATAAAAATAAATTGCTGAAGCCAGAATTTTCTGCCCAAAGGTTTAAGTGAAAATGTTCTACTTAGATTAAAATTAGAGCTGTGAAGGCTGAGAAAAACCTGTCTGGCAAAGAACAAGACCTTCTTTTCCAAAGACAAGCAAACACACATGATAAGTGTCAACTGCATGAACCTGGAGGGAAGACAGTACCAAAGTGGCCTGAGGTTACGTTGAGCCATGTGAGGATTCGCATCTGCTCTCAGAAGCTTTCTGAGCCAGCACTGAATTCAGGTAAAACATGTACTGTAAATTGAAAGGTGTACTTTTAAATGCTTTTCTCTAGGCTGACTATCCTCCTGTGAGCCACCAAATCCCACCTCAGCCAACACCTTGTTTATTTTTATTCAAAGGGAAAACAAATGAGAGTGGTGACACAACTGGTCAGAATTCAGGAGAGTCAGTAGGAAGACCGTGACTTCTCTTAAAAGCAGTGAGAAAGCCAGAAACAGCTCTTTAGCAAGTGGTTTTTGTGGGAGAACTGATTGATTCAAAATTTAGCAAACTGGTGTTTCTCGTAGTTGTTAACTTTGGAAGATAGCGCGTTCAAGGAGATGCAGGGAAGGGAAGCAGAGTTAACGGGAGCTAGCCTTGGGTTCACTGTGGACCCCCAATTGCTGTAGCCGCTCTCGCATGGTTGGGAGCTGGCGGCAGGAGGGGAGCGCAGGAGGGGCAGGGGCGGCTCTGCTGCATGGGCGTTGGGGACGCCAGACCAGGCGCTGTGGCAGGGACGCTTCCCATGCCACCATCCCACAGCCCGGCCCGGCAGGTCCCAGGGGTGTGCGCAGCCCGCACAGCTAGCTCCTCATCTGCCTCACGTTATGATAGTGCTGCTGGGTTTTGCTGAACCAGAGCTCATGTGGTAAGGCACAAGCCTTGTGGGAAGCCACTTTTGGGAAGACCCTGGTCAGAAAGAATTACCCAGAACCTTTTCCTCCCCTGCCTTCGTGGGTATTAAAACTCCGATCCATACAAATTGAATTATACAATTAGCTATGTAGGGGCAAAGTATTTCTTCCATGGTTTTATTCCTACATTTATCACAAAAACTACTTGTCATTTATTTACTTAAATATTTTGAAATAAGTAAGCCTTCCTGGGGTACACAGAGCTCTGATGAGAAGGAGGTGTGGAGGGGAGAGAGCCCCTTTCCCTAGGTAGGCAGCATCCTCCACCCATGGCCAGGCACCACACCATCACCGCAGGGCACCCCCAGGGACCCTAGCCTAGGGCAGGGGAAACCTCATCCCCCCTCACCCCCTTCCCAGTCCCATTAGAGA